CATGGTAACTTGGAGTCAAAAATGATCCCCAAAGATATGTGTGTGTGTGTGTGTGTGTGTGTGTGTGTGTGTGTGTTTCAGTCGACTCCCTTGGGAATAAACACCAACCAATTAATCCACAGGATCCAGCAAAACAACCATTTCCATTTTTCTTAGCCTCCTGCTCCCAACTCTCACCCACAACACATGAGCAAGTTCTATTAAAAATTCATCCTATCTAAGGATACAGTGAATCAGGATCCCTAGCAAGTAGTGCTAGAACATTCTGGTCACGTAGGTTGGATGTAGTCTTGTGCTGGGATATAAAACCCTGGAGCTGAGGAAAGCAGTAGTCTATCTTGGAAGCTATCCAGCCAAGAGAATCTGCATACCAGTAATGATATGGTGCCATTACCACATGAGACTGTGGTTATTGCTATGTAAGATTGCAGAAACGAGAAAGAGATTTGGACCACATGGGAAATTGCTTGGTTGGTACTCTTCTGCACAGAAGTGTTTTTGCAAAATATAAAAATTGTATCCTGTTTGAAGACTGGAGAGTATGAGCTGAAATTTTTATTTTTAGAGTGCTTGAGTTCTGCTTATTTTTGATGAGAGATTCAATTACAACAGCAGTAAAATGCAACCGTGAATCCTATTTTGGAAACATGCAATTTCATGGAAGTATACTCCACCCTGTCACAGCTCTGGGTGGAGGGAGGGAAAAGGGGGAGAGAAAAAAAAAAAAAAAACAATCTTCATGCCAGGAAAGTAAGTGTGTGCCAACTTTCCAAAGAGATCCTCTTTGAAAATCTAAGTTCACAAGGAACGCTTTTTAATATTTTTCATATTCAAAGACCTAGAAATAGTCTATCTCACAATTCAGGCCCAGTGATTACTTTTAGGTTAGGACTCTGCTCTCCCGTAAGAACTAGTGAACATAACTATGCTTGTTGAAATGAAGAAAACAAAATTCTCATTTCAAATTATTTTTGTTTTGTTTTTAATCTAAGGATTCATGTGCTGATTAAATGCAGGTTTCTCTGGATGAAGCATAAAAGGGTTCCTGATAATCAGTGTTACCAAACATTACAACTGGAAGCTGAATGATGCTATGAACTAGTCTCTGGACACTGCATCTATCTGGAATGTTCGTACCCCAACATAAGAAAATAAGACACTTTTCCAAGTTCCTTCCTCCTCTAAAAATTTGAAAAGGAAAAAAAAATTAAATGCCATATTGGGTCAAATTAATAGAGCATTCAGTACTTCTATCAGGGATATCAAAGAACTCTTTCCAAGTCACACCCCAGAGCGTTATTGTCAACATTTGGAGATGCATCACTAAGATCTCTAATCTCTCCTTTTAATTTATGTACAAAGAATTAATCTCAGCACTGATACAACTGTGTTCTACCTGCAGGTCTGTTCGTTCTTCTCAGATTGAGAAATCCTTGGTGGTATTCTGCAAAGTAGAGACTGCACTACCACAGAACCACAAATAAGACACTAGGGACTCAGAGGCTGAGTATGTGATGCTTTGAAAATATGTTTCCCTCCCTTCCCACAAGCGAAAGCTTCATTCCAAGTCCAGATCAGCAGAATTGCCCCCAGCAGGAAAGAGCCATGTAAATAGCAAAGCTTTAGGATCTGATTTTGGTCCTACTTCCACCCAAGGATGCAACATCCTC